ATGTGAAATCTGATAGCTTGAGTGTCACGAAGTTCGAAAAAATTTCTTTTGAATTTTGAGCTTGATCAATGAAATAAATGCAGGCACCCAATTTTACATCCAATGGTTAAGATTAATTGTGACCACTTTGTACCTAAGATAAATAATCTCATTATATATTTTATCTTTAAAAATAAAAAACACATTACAAAATAAATCCCATATTTTTTGGGATATTTTATATAATTTATTTTTCAAACTTTTTAAAATACCTAGCCACTCCACCAAAACCCGCCAAAAATTGGATCGGCTAGTGCCCGATGTTAAAATATGGATGTATGAGTATATATCTCTTGATAAGATTAGATATTTAAAAAAATAAAAAAAGATCAAATCAAAACTTATAATTTTGTGATTCTTATATATAAGTACTTATTGATTATCTTCTAAAGGTATATATTGATGTAAACAATTATCCAAAATAATAAAAACGAATCTGGTATATATTGATGGAAACAATTATCCAAAATAGTGAAGACGAATATGTGGACATAAGGATGGAAATGGAAATTTCAAAGATCAGTTCCTTGGTCGGACGTCCCTTGGATTCACGGTTTTCTTTGTGGAGCAGAAAGAAGGGAGAAGCAGAGACAATGGACAAGAGAAGAGGATGAGAAGCTTCTTCACCTTGCCGAACTTATGCCCGCACAGTGGTGAACCATTCATTGCCCCAATCGTGGGCAGGACACCATCCCAGTGTTTGGAGCGATGTGAGAAGCTCTTAGATGCAGCCTGTCTGAAAGACGAGAACTATGAACCATCTGATGACCCACGAAAACTTCGTCCAGGTGAGACTGACCCCAACCGTAAGTCCAGCAGGCTGGACCCTGTTGACATGGATGAGGATGAAAAGGAAATGCTCTCTGAGGCCAAAGCACGCCTTGCTTCGTTGCAAAAACGGCTAGAATTGAAGGCAGCAGGGATTGATGGGCGACAAAGTAAAAGAAAGAGAAAGAGGATTGACTACAATGCAGAGATACCCTTTGAGAAGAAGCCACCACCTGGTTTTTTTGATGTCACAGATGAAGAAAGGCTGCTCGAGCAACCCTAGTTTCTAGTATTCTGGCCTTCAAGAGGGTGGCTTCTTGCCAAATATGCTCATTCATCTCGGACCCACTTGTAATTGATCTCCTCCAAAAACAAGATTTATCCAACCACTTTTCAACCTTGGAAGCAAAGGATTCATTTGCAGCATCCAATACCGCAATGAATAGACGAAGAAGTTCTGAAGCAGCTTGGCACCTCGAGAATTGGTTGAATGCTTGAAGAGCGAGAGGCGAAGAGGAGGGTTGCTATAGAGGCTCAGTTAAGGAAGCAGTATATTGAGAAGAATAAAATTGCCCAAAGACCCGCTCCAAAGATATCGATTTTTTCTCTCTTGATCTTCTTTGCTTTTGATCTTGATTTATAGAACACACACTCTCTCTCTAAAAAGTCTTAATTCTTTTGTTGTTATTGTATGCATGTGTTTGGTGCCGAAAGTCTATTCATTTTCGAGTTGTTTTAAAAAAAAGCCACCCCGGTTGGGCTGATTTGTTTTGGATCTTACTACTCTAAACTCCGAATCTAAGGTCCAATTGTGCTTTCTGTTTGATGATCGAATTTATCGATCCTGATTGATGATCAAGTTTTTCATTACTTAATTTTGTTTAATGATGGAGTTTTCCGTTACTCCATCATGTGTGATGATCGAGTTTACTCGATCTTGTTTGTTCCAAATGCATATGTTTCAATGATTGAGTTTTTCGTTACTCAATCAATCGTATTGGATGATGGAGTTTTCCGTTGCTCCATTCTATAAGATGATTGAATTTCTTTCCATTATTCGATCATGTCTATTGATCGAGTTTTTCATCACTCGATCCTGAAGATTATGAAAAAGTATTTGTCTGTTATTGATCGAGTTTTTTGTTACTCGATGTTCTGAAAGCCTATTTATCTGTTGTTGATGGAGTTTTTTCGTTACTCGATTCCTGAGGTCATCTGGTCTTGAGGCTTACTGCAATATGTGTTTGTTGTTCAAACAATCTAAATATCACTACTCGTTTTTTGCAACTTTGTATTGTTCAAACTCTAACTGTTTTGTGTCAAAACATCTTGAGGTTGAGAGGGAATATTAAGATATGGATATCTCGGGTTCATATTGATATACATCATTATGAATATAGTGCTATATATCTATTAATAAGATTAGGTATTTAAAAAAAAAAGAAGAGACAAAATAAAAACTTATAATTGTGTAATTGTTCTCTATATATAGAGGTACTACTTATTGATTGTAAACATTTATCCAAAATAATGAAGATCTAGCCTATTGGGTTTTGAATCCGTGGGCATAAGACATCGGTCTGAATCACGTAAATATTATGTTATATTTTCTTCTCTCTCCATTATCCATTCAATGTCTATGCATGTATACTCTCACGAATTCTAATACTCGGTTTCGAGTTAAACCAGCTGAGTATGCAAGGGCTGCTGTAGAGCCAAGGTTTCTCAAGCGTGCATATGGGAGAAGATTCAGTTTGAAAGGGTCTCATAGCTCTCAATGAGACAAAAGCCATAGTCTTTCTAGCTAGGCTAGGACTGTACCACAAGGAACTTAGTATACTACTCTCAAAGTGGATTCTATTGGCATATGATATAATTAGCAAGAGAGCATCGTTTTAAAAAACGCCGAGTCGAACCGGACTCGCCCGGTTCGACTCGGAAATCGTGAAAAGGGGACCGGATCGCCCAAAAATAGGAAATCGTCCGGTTCTAGAGAGAACCGGACGATTCTGTACAGTGAATCGCCGATTCCGTACGGATTTTTTTTAATTTTTTTTTTTTTAATTTTTTTTTTTTGTTAATCCTATGATAGATTTTTTTGTAATACTTGATCGATTTTTTTGTAATCCATGT